CCCACCCCAGAGACTTGAGACTGGAAGCCAGCCTTGTTCCTGCTCCTCTGACGTCCGATTCAGGGGGCACTTTGGGCGGCTGTTGTTGAGGTGGTCTTGTACGCTCAATTGTGTTCAACTCTTTGCAACCCCATGGACTATAGACAGCCAGACTCTCCTGTCCATGGAATTTTCTAGGCAAGAGTATGGGAGTGGGTTGCCATTTCCTACTTCAGAGGGTCAACCGGACCCAGCGATCAAACCCACGTCCTGTGCATCTCCTGCATTGGCAGGCGGATTCTTTACCAACGGTGCCACCTAGGAAGCCCTTTGGGGGTGCAAACCTACATTTTCACTGACCTCCTGGACTGCATCTCAGGAGTTAGACAGCACCAGCCGCATCCGGATGTTAAAACCCCATCCTCACTTCCAGGGTTGTTTTCCTCCAATACTCCTCACCAAACTTTTCCCATGAGGCAGCCTGCTCGAGGCCAGGCCGTCAGCTGCCATTAAATGGAACTATTTAGCACCAGTTCCAACTGCACAGTGAGTCAGCTCCCCGCTGCCAAAGGAGCCTCCTTGCTGGTCTCATGGAGGGTGTTTCAAAAGGCAGAGGGCAATCCTGCCCATGCCCTAAAGGGCAGAGAAGGAAACTAATTAGATGAAGCAGTAGGCGCCACTCCACGGCACCAACTGGATTTCAACCCTCACCTGAGGGCTGAGCACATTCAACACACCTTCAACCCACATTCAACACACCTGAATGGGTGTGAGTGGCTACAAGGGGCACTGCACTCCAGCCAACCTCCCTCACCTTGCCTCTTAGGCGGGCATCAGAAAAGCCCTGTTTCTTGCTCTTTTCTTTAAATTAATTTTCACTGGAGTACGGCTGCTTTACAATGTTGGGTTAGCTTCTACTGCACAGAAAAATGAATCATTTTGTAAAGCGACTCCCTCTTGGACTTCCTTCCTGTTCAGGTCACCACAGTGCATGAAGCACAGTTCCCCGTGCTGCACAGTAAGTTCCCATCAGTTATCTATTTTAGACATCGTACCAACAGGGTATGTGTCAATCCCAACCTCCCGACTCCTCCCACCCCTTACCCCCTTGGTATCCATACATGAGTGCTCTTCGTCTGTGTCTCTATTTCTGAGAAAAGCCCTGTTCTTAAAACTTGGGCCGGGGGGAGTGACCGAGGACAGAAGCTAGCAGCTGAGTACATTTCCCTACCCCTCTCCCAGGAAGGCAAACAGAATACCTGCCCCCCTTCTCACATGGGTGTGTGTGTGTGTGTGTGTTAGTTGTTCAGTCGTGTCAGACTCTGCGACCCCATGGACTGTAGCCTGCCAAGTTCCTCTGTCCATGGAATTTTCCAGGCAAGAATACTGGAGTGGGTTGCCATTTCCTTCTCCACCTCACATAGGTACAGTCTTTAATTCTAGATGACAACTGAGTCTGGGTCTTTTTTTTTTTTTTTTTTGGTTTTGGTTTTCACTAAGTAACTTATTCCATTTTTAAAAACTGCTAAGGATCTGCTAGTCTCAGCCAGATCCTAAGAGGTAAGCAATTAAGAGTAATGGAACAAAATAACAGATGGCTACTCTGAGGTCTCTATCATCAGCCTAAAAGAATAAAAAAGAAAGAAAGAAAAACAACCCTACTTGGAGAAAAACAAGACACCATCAGAACGTTCAAATAATTAACTCAAACCTAATAGAGCCCAAGCCAAAGGTCAGGGTCTAAACACTGAGGGTCAGTGATGTTTCAATGACCACGCCAGCTTAGCAGAGGAGGCAGAGACTCTTGCTGCGACGAGAACTTCGGGAGTGGCTACCAAGTGCCCTCGCCTGTCTAGCAGAGCAAGGGTGGCAAGGCCACTCAAGCCTCTTTCAGAAACGGAGAGGGAGCTCTGGCCCAGAGCTATAATTGCTCAAGAATTTGCTCAAAGACCAGACCAGTCCTTCCCCTCGCACCCCTGGAGAAAACATGCAGAGCCTTCCCAGATCAGAACTGTTGCATAAGCTACTTATCAGGTAATGCCTTGGTTACAAGGGTCCTCAGAAGGGCTTCAGGTGGATGTGAGAACCACTGGGAACCTCAGGCACCCTCTGACTTGGGCCAAACCCTGCTTAATTCCTAGAAGAATTCAACTGCCACACGCTTTAAGGGGCCCACAGCTGTCCTGGAACACAGCTTTTAAGAGCGTGAGAGTACACACAGGACACTCACAGGACTGCCACCCTCTCTGTGGTCCGTGGCTCAGCCTCAGAGGGGCAAGAAGGGCAATCTGTCACTTGCCAAAGTGGCACTGCCAAGCAGAAAAACCCAGTCTGGGGGGGATGGGGATGGGGTCCTCTTGGAAGAAAACAGCACAGACTCGTCTCTATTCGTTTCCATTACTCCTTCTCCCATTCAGAGAAGATGCCCGCCCCCAAATAGGTAGGCACACAGCAGTGAAACAATATTCCCCCCAAAGTACAGTTGCGTGTAAATATTTGCTGCAGTTGTATAAAGTCGGACACGCTAGGATCTGGCCTGTCTTGAGAATCTAAAACAGCTGGTCTGAGAGGGGCTGTGAGCCACCCTTTCCTTCCACCATGCCTGGTCCCTGAGGACGGGGGGGGGGGGGGGGGGGGGGGGGGCGGGGGGGAAGGGGGGGAAGGGGAATGACACAACTGCAGCCAGGCCTGGGATGTCGGTGAGTCCCGGTTCCTGCCCCGGCCTGAAGGGTGCCCTGGCCTCACCCAGCAGGCAAGGGAGACTAGAGCCACGGAGGAGCACGCAGCCGGACTCCCAGAAGGGAGTGGAGTGAGCAGAGAGTCACTCTGGGACGGGTAGGAGTCAGCGAGGGAGGGGAGGGAAGGTCCCTACCCCCCACCACCTGAGTCAAGAGGCTCCAAAGCTCACTCTCCGCCACCACGGGGAGCTGGAGAAGGAGGAGCCCAGGTTTTCTCAAAAACAACCCCATGGACCCCGCCTTGTTCCCTTACCAACTTCCCAGGTCTCTGGGCAACTCATAACCTTTCTCAACCCGGCACTGCCTCCGGCAGTAAATTACTGTTGCGACTGGAGGCTAGGTCTCTCCCCTCAAAAAGAATTTTTATGTCAGATTATCTCAACCTGCCCACCCGGAGGTAGGCGGGACAACAGATAAGGACACCACCACTGAGCCGCCACCACCTACCACCACCACCCCCCCCCAACTACCGATGAGGAAATTCAAGCAGAGGTTGGTAATTTACCCCAAGGTTAAGCCAGGCCCCACCCCGGGCTGCCTGGCACAGCTTTTCCTTTCACCCTTTCCCCGTCAGCCTGGGCCACCTGCATGGAACCCCCAAAGCAACAGCTCACACCCTCAAGAGGCTTCCAGCCACACTCAAACCCCTTGCTACTCTCCCAACACCATACACATCCACCCTTGTAGAATCACAGAAGGGACTCCCTCGACCCCTCCTCACTCCACAGATGACAGAACCACACTGAGACCAAGGATCTTGCCCAAGGCCATGGAGCTGTAATGAATCTGGGAAGAAAATTCAGGTCTGAAGAACCTATGACATGCCTCTAATAGTAAGTACCTCCCACCCTCTTCACACACTTTGAAACAGCCCCCTCCCAAGACACACACCCCCCTCAACACCTTCATTTCTTTAGCTCTTCCTGCGCATGCTAAAACCCCTCTTCTAGCAGCTTGGAGCTCCCTGCTCTCTACCACCTTGGATTATATGCACACCTATACACATACACAGATACACACAGACACACACCCCACCCTCTCTGCACCTCCCACTCCTTTTGATCTACCTCTCCCCACTGTGAGTCCCCCGAAATTGTCTCCACACCCCAACGTGCCACCTGAAAACAGACCCTGCTTTAGAACAAGCTCTTCATCACCACCCCCGAAAGACAATTCTTCTGGACACTCTCAGCCCCTCCTCCCCAAACAACTTGTTCTCCCTTCACAACACATAAACACACTCTCCAGTCCTGGGACAGCACCTCCAGAAGCCCTCACCCCCAAATTCCTCTCTTGGTCTATCCATCACACACTCCCTTTCTAATGAGACTTTCATTACTCCAAACACCTCCCTCCCACCATCCGCCATTCCGACCATTCTCTCCCGCCATTCTCACCTCGTTCAGGCTACCTTTGCCTCCGGCAACGCCAATCCTTTGCGGAGCTTTGTCTACGTTCCATCAATTCTTCAGAACCCCTCCTCAGAATACTCCAAATTCTCTCTATCCCCCTTCGGCCTCTCATCAAGGAGGCCTTGGCGTCACCAATACCTCTTCTATCTCCCAATCTTCTCCTCTTCCCTGTAGGACAGGGCATCCCTGATAATATCTCGCCCCTTCAAAACCTCTTATTCACAGCTCCCTGACTTCTCCCACCACAGCCAGAGTTCAGACCTCCTTAGCAGCCTCCCCGTCCTCAACCACCAAGCCCTGGGTCCCTTCACACCCACTCTAGAATCTTCATCCCCTTTAGAATGAAGGGGCTCCCATAATTCCAATCCTCTTCAGAGGATTCTGTAATCCAAATAACGCCCTCCATACTCCAGCTCCTCTTCGGGCTCCCCCGATGCCGAATTCTATCCTGACCCACACATTCCAGGTTCCCCCTTTTCCCTCTGACCACCTCCAGTCCATCCTGACCCGTCCATCCCGCCTCAGACCCAATTCCGTTTTTGAGTCTCCTCCAATCATCTCGCCGACTTCCCCTCATTCCCAGGCCAGACGCTCCAATTCCTTCCTTGGGCTCCCTGATTCCCAGTTTTAGATTTCCATATCCCCTACTCAGCCGCCAATTATTTTCTCAGACTCCCAATTCCCCGCTCAAGTTCTGCAACTCCTTTCCAGGACTCCAAACCCCTTCCCAGACCCGCCGAATCCTTCTCAGGACGCCCAGTTCTCACCACAGACCCTCCGAGCCCGTCTCGGGGTCTCCGAGCCCCTTCCCGGTCCCCAGCCTCCCTCGGAAGCCCCCCCCTCCAGCCCGTCCGGCCCTCGGGCCGCGCACCTTGCGCTGCTGCTTCTCCCAGGCCGGGTCCAACAGCAGGTCCCGGTCCCAGTCGTCCTCCTGGGCCATGTAGTCTCCCATGCTACCCCCGCCGCCAGCGCCATTGCTCCCGCTGCTGGGGCCGTACTGGTACGACTGGTTCGCCGCGTGGTAGTCCACCATTCCGCCGCCTCTCCCGAGCCCGTCCGCTCCAGCCTCTGCTCCCGCCCCTCTGCCTGAGCCGCTGCCGCTGCCGCCGCCGCCGCCGCTTCAGCTGCTTCAAGCCCGCCCTCCGCCGGCGCCTGCGCACTGCCCGCCGCGCCTGCGCACCGCGCCGCCGCCGCCGCCGCCCTCCCGCGCGCGCGCCTCCGAACGCAAAAGGCCCTGAGACTCCGCCTCGGGGAGTTCGGAGCCTGCGCACAGCGCGCTTCCCCGCCGCCCTTCGGCTCGTGGACGAGCCGCGCCCCCTGTTCCCGCGTGAGCGCGCCCGGCCTCGGCGTGTGGGCGGGGCCGGACCGCGGATGATTCGTAAGGCGGGTCTCGCCGTCCAGCTAAGAAAACCCGCTCAGGCGTGGCCTGTATCCCATCAACAAGAAAAATCCAACAAATATTTATTAAGCGCCCGCTGTGTGTGTTGCACTTAAACGAGATAGATAAAACTCCCTGCCCTCGCGGAAGCTTTTAGTGAAGGGAGACAACAAACAAAAAATTTTCAGTACATAATATATATGTTAATATATTCCAAGGGGATTAGCGTTGCGGAGAAGAATCAAGCTGGAATGCAAATGGAGTTGTCAAGATAGGCTTTGCGGAGGAGGACATTTGAACAAACACCGGCGGGATTCAGGAAATGGACATGGGAGTTAGAGTGGAATACATACTGGCTGACTCGAAAGTTATCGATAGAAGGTTTGGGAACTTATCTATCTTCATTCATTCAACAGACACTTGTTGAGCACCTACTGTGTCCCAGGCGCTGTTCTCAGGTGCTGACGATATGGTTCTGAGCTTAAGTGTGATCAGTTCTCAAGTGGCTAATGCGGGGGGGTGGGGCGCAGCAATAAGTAAGCAAATACAGATAAATGATATTGGCACAGTAAGCGGTGTCTCGAGTGTAAATATCCAAAGCTGAGCCCCTGACCTTCCTCACAGACCTGGTCACCCCATGATCATCCCTGTCCCACTGGATGGTGCCTCCATATTGTGTCCTCTTTGTCCTCACACCCTACATCCAGTTCTTCAGGAAATTCTGTCAGTTCCATCTTCCAAGTATGGACGGAATCCACTCACTTCCCTCTCCCCTATGGCCACACCCTGGTCCCGTCCACCCTCGCCTTATCTTCGCTTGGACCTCTGCCACAGCCTCCTCACCATCTCTCTGCTCCTCCACTCACCACCCAACTCTCTCACAAGAAGCCAGAAGGAGCCTGCGAACACCTGAATCAGGTCAAATCCCTCTCTCGTCTGCTCAGAACCTTCCCTTGGTGCCACACGTCAAAGTCAAGGAAAGGAGGAAAAGCTGCTGGAGTCTTCCTTGCCCTGGCTCAGCCCGGCCCAGCTTTTTTTTTTCTTTTTTCCAGCTCAGCTTTTGAAACCACTGAAACTCCTGGGGTTTCAACCGAACCCACAAGGTCTTTCTTCCACTTCCTGGTCATGCTGGTCCTCATGTCTCTCCCAGCTCACCTCCCACTCTCCCCTCCTTTCTGAGCTTTCACCACACTTTGTTTTTCAGCCGCTAAGTTGTGCCCAACTCTTTGCAACCCTGTGGACTGTAGCATACCAGGATTCTCTGTCCTTCACTACCTTCCGGAGTTTGCTCAAACTCATATGCTCATTGAGTTGGTGATACCATACAACCATCTATCCTCTGTCGCTGCCTTCTCCTTCTGCCCTCAATCTTTCCCAGCATCTGGGTCTTTTCCAATGAGTTGACTCTTCTCATCAGGTGGCCAAAGTATTGGAACTTCAGCTTCAGCATCAGTCCTTCCAATGAATATTCAGGATTGACTTCCTTGAGGATTGACTGGTTTGATCTCCTTGCTGTCGAAGGAACTCTCAGTGAGAGTCTTCACCAGCACCACAGTTTGAAAACATTAATTCTTCAGCGCTCAGCCTTCTTTATGGTCCAACTCTCATATCCATACATGACTGCTGGGAAAACCATAGCTTTGACTATAAGGATCTTTGTCAGCAAAGTGATGTCTCTGTTTTTTAATACTCTGACTAGGTTTGTCATAGCTTTCTTTTCAAGGAGAAGGGTCTTTTAACTTCATGGCTGCAGTCATTGTCCACAGTGATATTGGAGCCCAAGAAAATAAAACCTGCCACTGTTTCCATTCTCCCCCCCCTCCCCCATCTATTTGCCATGAAGTGATGGGACCAGAGGCCATGTTCTTAATTTTTTGAATGTTGAGTTTTAAGCCAGCTTTCACTCTTTTTCACCTTCATCAAGAAGCTTTTCAGTTCCTCTTCACTTTCTGCCATTAGGCCTCCTAATTGTTCCTCCAAAATACTAGGTATGCTCCAGTCTCAAGGCCTTTGAACATAGTAATACCTTGTTACCACTGCCTGGAACACTCTCCATAGATACTGGATCCCCAAAGCTCATAGCCTCCTTTCCCGCAGATCAAAGGAAATGTCACCTCCTCAGTAAGACGTCCCCTGACCACCTTTTTATAAATAACATCCACACCTTCCCAGCTTTATTTTTTCCAGAATACTGATCACCACTAATATACTATTATGACTGCTTTATTTAGTTTGAGAATGTCAGCCCATGATAGTGGGGATCTTTGTTTTGTCATATTCCTAGTCTCTGAAACAGTGTCTGGCACAGGATTGTTGTTCAGTTGCTAAGTTGTGTCAGACTCTTTTGTGACCTTCTGTCCATAGGCTTTCCCAGGCAAGAATACTAGAGTGGGTTGCCATTTCCTTTCCTTCTCCAGGGGAACTTCCTGACCCAGGGATTGAACACACATCTAAGATAGAAGCTTAATAAACCCCAGATGAATGAACAGGCTTAAAACCATGGTGAGGAATTTGAGTCTTTTTTATTGATATATAATTGACATATAATGATTTGATTATTATTTTTTTTGCCTGAAAAGAAGTTTTGATTTTATTCTAAGTGCAGTGGGGACATATAGTGAATTTCATTCTAAATACAATGGGAAGTTAAGGAAGACTGTCAGCAGGTCTAGGGTCAGATTCAACTGTCTACTGGGTCGTCTGGCCACAGCAGGACAATAGACTGCAGAAGGTGGAGTGTGCTCGGGGAGCCCCGTGAGGAGGCTGCTGCAGCGGTCCTGATGAAGCCAGACAGAAAGACAGAGGGTAGAGGAGGAGAGTGCTGTGGAGGAAGAGCAGTGGGAGGATGTGGGAAAGTGGAGCCTCTACGACTTAGACTTGAGTTATGAATTTGTTGTGGGTGGGAGGCAGAGGTGAAAAAGAGAGGGAAAAAGAAAATCCAGACTCAAGATGGCTCCTAGGGCATCCAGTGGGTAAGAATCTGCCTCGCAATGCAGGGGACACTGGTTCCATTCTTAGTCCAGAGAGACCCCATATGCCGTGGGGCACCCAAGCCTGTGCACCAGAAGTACTGAGGCAGCGCTCTGGAGCCCACAAGCCACAACTCCTGAAGCCTGGCAGCCCCAGAGCCCGTGCTCCGCAACATGAGCAACCGCCACAGTGAGAAGCCTGTGCACCGCAACTAGAGAGCAGCCCCCACTCGCCGCAACTAGACAAAAGCCTGCACGAAACAATGAAGACCCAGCACAGCTAAAAATAATAAATTCTTAAAAAAAAAAAAGATGGTTCCTAGATTGTGGACTTGAGCAACAGTATGAAGAACTGTATTGAATTCAGGGACAGCCTTGAGGGGAATTGTTGTTAGGGAAAGTAAGAAAGTAAGGGTTTGACTAAAGGCAGGGACTGACACAGGCCAAAAGGACTGTGTCACAGTCACCTGCTGGGGAGTGGGGATGAGAAGACGCTTCTCCAGGTACGAGAGCTACCAGGTGCTCTCATCTCCCCTCAAAGGCACTGGGAGAGATTCAAGGACAAGCGAAGGAGGATGAGGCAGCCCGCTTTCGCACAGCCAGCCATGACCTGGCCAAAGACCCAACAGGACTGACCGTTTCCAAAGCAGGGCTGGGCCAAGGCTGGGTTGGGGCTGGGCATCTCTTCCTGCCTGACCTGGAGAACAAGCCCAGGACTCTCATGCTGGGCCTGCTGGGCAGGGAGAGTCCTCTTGAACAATGGACCTTCTGCCCCTCCCTGCCTGCTCCCTGTCAACACTGAGAAAACTCCCAGACCCAGGGCTCAGAGATGAAGAGGATATCCCCAGCCAGTGAGGTTTAAAGGCTCCCTTTAATTGCCAGCTTTGAGGCCACTTCCCCGAAGCCATCCATGGAGTGAACTAATAATAGCTACTCTTCGCAGAGGCTGAGGGACAGTGGGCAGATGCTCTCAGGGGGCAGGGGGCGATCCCTGAGTGAAGGAGTATGGCCAGGGGGCCCTGGGGTTAGGGTCACCATTTCCACATCACTGTTTGGTGAAAACTTGTGACTTCAGTCAGAACTTATTAAATACTGTATCCCATTATTGGTAATTCCCCAGCAGGCCAGTAGTTAGGACTTGGTGCTTTCATGGCTGTGGCCCCAGGTTCAGTCCCAGGTCAGGGAACTAAGACCCCACAAGTGTCTTATCCTGCAAGCCACGTGGCCAACAAGAAACAGTATATTAGCCAATAAATATTGAATTAAAAAATAATAAATACTGTATCCCGTTATTAACACTACTTAGATGAAAGAAAGGAGAGCGAGCTGTGACCTTTCAGGGTGGGAACATGAACAGGCCCTGGGATGCTAGAGGGGACTGTGGAAGCAGTTGTACCAGCAGACCGAAGCCCAAGCCACCATAACAGGTGACATGCTGATGACCTCAAATCCCTGAGTGCATTCACTGAAAGCAATGGCTAAAGGGGACACTCTTCTTACTCACACCCCCAAAAGCCACTGGGCTGGTGTCTAAACCCAGTCTTTCTGCAGAACCAGGCCTTAAAGGTCGTTTCCTCTTCCCCTGCAGAAAGGCCGTGACCTGGTGTGCCTGCTTGTATTCTACATGGGGGCACCTGCCAAGTCCGGGAGTGGGAGCATGCCCACCCAGACTGGGTGCTCTTCTGC